TGATGCCGGCCATCCCAAATGGGGATGGCTTAGCGCCCGGAGTGATGCTCTTTTAGGGACAACAGAGCCCCACCGTCTCTGGCGACCACCGGAAAGGACCAACGGAGAAAAGGAAGAAGGGGCGGAAAAAAGGGGGGAAGGGAAGGGGGGGAAGAGGAGGGAAGAGAGAGAAGACGCCCGGCCAAGTGCGAGGGAACATCGCATAGAGGGACTCCAATTTCAAAAACAGCCCTTAGGTATTTTTGTAGTTCTAAGCAAAACTCTCAAAAACTATAACTCTCAAAGAGTAGTACATTTATCAGTATGTAAGATAATAAACTTAAATCGTATAGCCGTGTATGTTGTCTATTGCATGATTATGCATGGGTACATAATCTGTACCTTATTGTATATACATGTATGAATAAGTACGATCCAATGGATTCTATGGTATTTTTTCAATCATAGAGATGTAATCTGTCCAGAATACATTAATTATATATCACATGAGTCGTATGTTTTTATCACTGTGATCGCATTAAGGTGTATTTGCAAATTAATCTATCATTTTAATGGACCTTGGGAAGCATTTCCCACACTTCTAATCTTGTGTATTTAGTTGGTGGTATTTTCCAGTAAGCGTCCTGGATGGTATAGAATCGCTCTTGGGGTGGTCATAGGGGATATAGACTGTTATTAGTTCCTTTGGGGAGTGTTTTTAAAGGAAGGATTTAAAGCTAAGCGTTTCATTCAGCCCAGGTGGCTGTATGGCCCGTAGCTTATAGATCCACCCTGTCTCTTTTTGAAGTATTTTCTTATCCCAGTCTCCTCCACGTTTGTCTTCCCTTATACATTCCAGCCCAAAAAATGATAAGACCGTTGCGTCAAAATTGTGGTACAGGCCCACATGACGACTTATTGGTGTCGTCATCTTACCATTTGATGTTAAATATATATGGTCCTGAATACGCTTGTAAAAGGGCCTAATCGTCTTACCTACGTAAAAAGCGCCACATTGGCAGGTCATCAAGTAAACAATCCCCCTAGTTTGACAGTCCATATGATCCCGAGGGGACCATATTTGGCCGTTCGGGAGTCTTGTAGATTCACCTTGAGTGATGAATTTGCAAAAGCTGCAACGCCCACATCTAAAAGTTCCCCTAGGGGTAGCTTCACTTGCCTTAATCCCCTGATGGTGGCTGTGTAATAGCTGGTCTCGTATGGACCTTGGGCGGCGGTATACAATCTCCGGTTGGTTCCTTTATATGTTTAGCGATAATAGGGTCCTGTGATAAGAGGTGCCAATGTTTTTCTAGGATCTGTTTAACTTGATTGAACTGTTTGGAATAGTGGGTAATTATTTTTACCGTTGGTGTCTTTTGTTTAGCTTGTTCTCTTCTGGATGAGTAGATTAGTTTGTCCCTCGTCTGCAGCTTGGCTCTTTTGTAAGCCTGTTTTAGGACCCGTCTACTATATCCTCTTGCGCACAGGCGATCCCTGAGCTTAGCCGCCTCTTCCTCAAAGAGGCGGTCCAAGGAGCATACCCTCCTAAGCCGTAGGTATTGGATGTGCGCTGGTGGCGTGCAGGATGGTATTTCCTGCCGATTCTTTTCTATAGAGTCCCGTGAAAATTGAGCCTTCATCGTCGACCCCCACCTTGACATCCAAAAATGGGATGGACTTTTGGTGGCACTGCATGGTAAATTTTAGATTGAACCTATTAAGCTGCAGATGAGAGACAAACACCTCCAACTCCTCCCTAGAGCCCATCCAGATTATAAACACGTCATCTATATATCTCAACCACGTGAGAATATGGTCCGAAAACCCACAGGCATCCAACGAATGGAATAGTTCCCGTTCCCACCCCCCCAGATACAGGTTGGCATACGACGGGGCACAGCATGTGCCCATTGCAACCCCCTGCATCTCAAGGTAGTGGGACCCCCCAAACGTAAAAGCGTTATGTGATAAGACAAAGAGCAGCAAGTCCAAGATGAAGTTGTTATATAGTGTCGATGAGTTGGTCCTTTCGTCCAGAAACTGCCTAATGGTCTCTATGCCTTTCAGATGGGGAATACTGCTATATAGTGCCTCCACGTCGATTGTGACCAGCCAAGAGTCTGGTGGAATCATAATACCGTCCATATTTTTAAGGAGGTCAGATGTATCTTGTAAATATGAAGGTAGAGCTATCACATGAGGTCTCAGGTAGTCATCAATCATCCGACTGGCCAGTTCAGTAAGGCTACCAATTCCTGACACGATTGGTCTGCCCGTAGGGTTTTTATGAGCAGTGCTAGCGGAGAGCAATTATTCCATTCCACAGCCCTACGAACAATTGTATAAGGACCTCTTTTATATGTTATCTTATTGTGACCAGCCAAGAGTCTGGTGGAATCATAATACCGTCCATATTTTTAAGGAGGTCAGATGTATCTTGTAAATATGAAGGTAGAGCTATCACATGAGGTCTCAGGTAGTCATCAATCATCCGACTGGCCAGTTCAGTAAGGCTACCAATTCCTGACACGATTGGTCTGCCCGTAGGGTTTTTATGAGCAGTGCTAGCGGAGAGCAATTATTCCATTCCACAGCCCTACGAACAATTGTATAAGGACCTCTTTTATATGTTATCTGGTCATTTGGCATTTGAATAATAGGGTCCTGTGATAAGAGGTGCCAATGTTTTTCTAGGATCTGTTTAACTTGATTGAACTGTTTGGAATAGTGGGTAATTATTTTTACCGTTGGTGTCTTTTGTTTAGCTTGTTCTCTTCTGGATGAGTAGATTAGTTTGTCCCTCGTCTGCAGCTTGGCTCTTTTGTAAGCCTGTTTTAGGACCCGTCTACTATATCCTCTTGCGCACAGGCGATCCCTGAGCTTAGCCGCCTCTTCCTCAAAGAGGCGGTCCAAGGAGCATACCCTCCTAAGCCGTAGGTATTGGATGTGCGCTGGTGGCGTGCAGGATGGTATTTCCTGCCGATTCTTTTCTATAGAGTCCCGTGAAAATTGAGCCTTCATCGTCGACCCCCACCTTGACATCCAAAAATGGGATGGACTTTTGGTGGCACTGCATGGTAAATTTTAGATTGAACCTATTAAGCTGCAGATGAGAGACAAACACCTCCAACTCCTCCCTAGAGCCCATCCAGATTATAAACACGTCATCTATATATCTCAACCACGTGAGAATATGGTCCGAAAACCCACAGGCATCCAACGAATGGAATAGTTCCCGTTCCCACCCCCCCAGATACAGGTTGGCATACGACGGGGCACAGCATGTGCCCATTGCAACCCCCTGCATCTCAAGGTAGTGGGACCCCCCAAACGTAAAAGCGTTATGTGATAAGACAAAGAGCAGCAAGTCCAAGATGAAGTTGTTATATAGTGTCGATGAGTTGGTCCTTTCGTCCAGAAACTGCCTAATGGTCTCTATGCCTTTCAGATGGGGAATACTGCTATATAGTGCCTCCACGTCGATTGTGACCAGCCAAGAGTCTGGTGGAATCATAATACCGTCCATATTTTTAAGGAGGTCAGATGTATCTTGTAAATATGAAGGTAGAGCTATCACATGAGGTCTCAGGTAGTCATCAATCATCCGACTGGCCAGTTCAGTAAGGCTACCAATTCCTGACACGATTGGTCTGCCCGTAGGGTTTTTATGAGCAGTGCTAGCGGAGAGCAATTATTCCATTCCACAGCCCTACGAACAATTGTATAAGGACCTCTTTTATATGTTATCTGGTCATTTGGCATTTGAACCCCAATCATGTATGTCTATAAGAACATAGGATGAATCGTGTATGTTTCTGTTAATGGTGAGGTATTGTGCATGTAGAAAGAGCTTTGTTAGGGACTATCTATTCAATTTTATCATTTGGCTTTAAGCCCTCTTTGTTCCCTTTTTTAAGATTTATATGAAATAAACAAATATATATTTTTACATTTTGTGGTTGGAGTTGTCATTTTTTGGTGCTTTCAAAACCCCACTTTTTCTTTCTTTAAAAGAATCTCTTTTGCAAAAACCCCACAGTAGTCTACTGGTGGATATTAGTGGTCCAGAAAAGGTGTTCTAACAGGCATTGGTTATCCACAGATATTACCATGCTTGTTTTGAAGACATTAGATGCTTTTTTTTGTAGTAGGAACTGATGTGAATTAACGAGATAGGAAAGATCACAGAAAAAATGGTTTTATATGCTTTATAAGAATTTGGTGTTAATTTAATTTCAGCTTTGAAAATACCCTAGGCATCTTGCAAGGTCATAAAGATCGCTGTCAATGCAACATATACAGTGGCCATGGCAAATATTAGTATGTGTGTTTGATGAAATTGAATGTCTGATAAATTTCCTTCAAAACTTAATGGGAACTAGTACACTTAGTTTGCCCATGCTGGAAAAGGTGCTTAGAAAAATAACATTTGGCCTGTCTGTACTATTATCTTCCATATGTGCAAAAGTCCTTCCTTATAAGAGTGTGTATATGTTATGGCGTTCGAACGCTCTGCAAGACGCTCAAACACCGAAATCCCATTGTTTCTTATGGGTATGGCTCACACCTGGGCATATTTCAGCCCGTCTGAACGCGCTACAAAACAGCCTACACCCAAAGAAGTACATGTACTTATTTGGGGCGTTTTGGTTGCACGTTTCCATTGGGATACAGCCAAGTAGCCCTCGGAAACGCGCGTTTGTCTTACCGCGAAACGCGCGACAACCCAGCCTTAGGATGTGCACAGCTGTTTTATAACAGAAAATAATGTGGCTTCTTTAGAGCTTAACCTGAAACACTGTTACATCAGTAAAGCACTTTCCATTCACTCACGATTCATGATAAACTTAGGTTTGCAATGCTGATATACATTGTTTTCCACACCTCTGAATATGGCAGTATAGTTCTTATGTTTTTAAAGTATTAGTGTATTTCTTTTTCTTGCAAAAATCAAAACAGATCTAGCCACACACTGTACAAATGCATGCCTTTTTATCCTATAATTTTTCTTTTAACAGAAAAACATAAGGAGACTTGGAGGGCATTTAAAATATGTATTGAAAGTTCAAAATGAGGCCGGCACACAATCCAGCAAAGTGCCATCTGTTGGTTCTACTTGTAAAGAGGTAAATACTGGTTGGTCAAAATAATCCTCCAGGAGCATAATCTCCTAGAGTTCAATATGAAGTACACTGTATTGCAATTTGCAATCACTTCAATTCAGTGATTTAGACCAACACAAAATGGTTATAAACCCGTTAGTGGAAAGATTTCCTTCCTTTTCCTGTTGTTGCTATGACTAATATCGCCCCAAGATGCATACAGACAGTGATAAAATCCTGACGGGTATTGCAACCCTTCCACACAGTATCCGTAACAAAAAAATTATTAAGCTGAACTTCTGGTCTAAAGTGACCCCATGCAATATTTATTTACATGAAAGTATTTACATGTTCTGAAGAAGCAGTAAAAGCTATTTATTCTTAAAACATGCCTCTCATGTTTATCAATCTGTTTCAGTTTGTGAATAAGCACAGAAGAGCCTAGTGTTGAGCACTTCCATGTTCATTCATAAACTGAAGGAGATCCACAAACATGAGGCGTGTTTACTGACCTCCTCCAGTTTGTGGATGAACACAGAAGAGCTCAGTTCAGTAGTAACTGTTGGGTAGCAGAGGAAAAGGAGACTGAGGACTCTCTATCACAAACAGGAAAAACCCGTTAGTCCAAAGACAATCTGTCAGAGTTCCTGTATATTCTGTCACCAAGGGGCTTTTCATTCACTGGTGAGTTCATAGGTAAAGAAAACAACTAATACCTAGGATTAAAATAAAAAAAAAAATTACACAAGATGATGAATCGATAAAATTGAAGACAGGGGTTTTGAGACTGAATAATTTAACCCTGTGCTTTACCAAAGCACCACATACTTGCCTTGCTTTTTCTCCCTTGCCACTTCAGTGAGTACTGCTAGTGAGGTTTGATTTATAGGTGGAGACTATTCTTTTAGGATAAATCCAATAATTGTAGAGAATGGTAGCTGCATGAGGGAAATCTTATATCTGTGTATGGAATCAGGTTGAAAGGGTACAGGCGTAAAATAACTATTAACGGGAGAGGCGTTTCTTGGAAGCCAAAGCATAGTAACTTAAATTTTATTCCCAGGTTGATTGGAAGCCAGTGAAGAAACTGACAAAGGGAGGCAGCACATGAGTAGTGGTTAGATGGGTAGATAGATCTTACTGCAACTTTAATAGTAGATTGTAGAGGTAAGAGTATTATTAGTGTTTTTTTAAAGAGGCGTATTTTCATCAAAAAACACAGAACAAAAATGGAAATGTTTCAACTCAACTGTTCACAAGCATCCTGCAAAATATATTCCTGTAAGCAATGAGTTTAAAAGGCTAAAAGTAAAACCCATGTGGCTCACATCCAATGTTAAAAAAGCCAAAAAAATAAGAAAAGGAACACTGTCATCATTTGAAAGCTAAAAAGAATATAACAAAATATGTAAAAAGGAAATAGAGATCGCAAAGATTCAAAACAAATGACAGGTTGCAAAAGAATGCAAGACAACCCCCCCAAAAAATTCTTTATATATATTTAATAGTAAAAAAAATCAGGTCTGAGCATGTAGGCCCCTTTAAAAGATAACTCAATGGGGACAGATAAAGCAAATCTATTAAATACTTTCTTCAGCTCTGTGCACACCAAGGAACAGGATGCAACTCTAGTCCATAATGGGGATAGCAGTGCTATAGCCTCTAATGAACCACAATGGCTGACTATTGATATGGTCCAGAAACAGATGAAATTAAGGTGAACAAAGAAAGGGGACTGCATGGCTTACACCAACGTGTCCTCAAAGAATTGAGCTGTATAATTTCAAAGCCATTGTATCTAATTTTTAGAGATTCTTTGATGACTGGCTTGGTACTGATGGATTGGTGCAAGTGCAATGTGGTGCCTATAATTAAAAATGGATCAAAGTCTTTACCAAGTAATTACAGACCTGTAAGTTTAACTTCAATAGTTAGTAAGATACTTGAAAGTTTGATCAAGGATCACATGCAATTGTTTTTGCTTGAAAATATCATAAGCGATAGCACGGTTTCACTAAAGGCAGAAGTTGCAAACAAACCTACTCTCTTTTTATGAGGAAGTGAGTAATAGATTGGACAGAGGAATGGCTCTGGATATAGTATGCTTGGATTTTGCAAAAGCATTTGACACAGTTCTCCACATGTGGCTAATGTATAAGTTAAGGTCAGCAGGTATAGAGTATTCAATCTGTAATTGGATAGAAATCTGGCTTAAAGACCGTATTCAGAGAGTGGTGATCAATGATTCCTACTCTGAATGCTCTGAGGTTTAGTGGTGTCCCCCAAGGTTCAGTGTTGGGCCCCTTACTGTTTAATCCATTTATAAATGACATAGAGTTGGGTATTAAAAGTACTATTTCTGTGTTGGCAGATGACACCAAGTTATGTAGTGCAATACAGTCCTTACAGGATGTCTCCAACCTACAAGCAGATCTGAATGCACTGTATGATTTGGGCATCTATTTGGCAAATTAGGTTTAATGTTGATAAATGTAAAGTTATCCACTTGGGGACTGAAAAGATGCATGCATCATACATCCCCTCTAGGAGGAGTATGTTTGGGGGAGTCAATGATGGAGAATGGATCTGGGTGTACTGGTAGACTATAGACTCAATAATAGCATGCAATGTCAAGCCACAGTTTATAAAGCAAGCAAAATACTTTCTTGTATTAAAAGAGAAGGGCAACTAAACTAAAAGAGGCATGGAGGAGCTCAGCTATGAGGAAATATTAACTGACCTGAATTTGTTGTCTCTGGAGAAGAGGCGATGACGGGGGGGGGGG